ATTAATTGATTTCACACTAAAATGGCTATATTATCTTCATTAATGATCCCCAACATTCAGAAGTGATTCAAGGTGTATTTAAGCAAGCTTAGAAGCCATTGATCAACAACAAGAAACATCAAGCAACTAGAATCAAGAGAGAATCAAAGAGAAAGCATCAAACCTCAAGTTTGAGCATTTCAAGCCTATTTTTCATTCAATATTCATTTTGCTTTCAAGAACACTTATTGTGCTCAATTGTATTCATTCTTGAGTGTTCTTTTCTTTGTTCTAGAATTGTTCAAACAATCTACCTTGTGAGAATTTTCTTGTAAGTTTGCAAATTTGTATTGTTCTCTTTGGGAGAGAGTGTTCTCAAGAATTTGGGGTATAATTCTTGAGGGTTTGTAAGGTTACTCTTTGTCCTCAAAAGAAAGACAAATTAGTGAATTTGTGGAAAATCCTTAGTGTGGATAGCTAAGGTAGTGGACGTAGACTTTGGTTGAGAAAGTCGAACCACTCTAAATCGTTGTGCAAATTTCTTTCAATTTTCTGCAAAAGCTTCCACCAAAATTTTAATTGCCAATTTACCCCCCTCTTGGCCATATTCGTCAATCGATTAACTCAACAAGGTTTTATGAATGATTTTTGGGTATAAACTACTCAAGTAAATGGTTTTGATAATGATGATTTGGAAATGATTCTGATTTGAAATGGATGATTAATAAATGAATATAATATGATCTGGAAACCCATTATATGTTGCATTGAGAGTTGTAGGTACACTTGACATGCTAGGAAGTTGAGTAAAGTAAAGTCCGATTATGATATTGTACATTCATGTACATTATGTTTGGCATTGTTGGTACAAATGATATGATTGCACTTGGAGCGCATCATATGATGATGTTGATTGGCACATTTGGTGCTTAGTGCGTACATTAATGTATGACTCACATACCTTATATTCTTTTACATATACATTGAGCTATGAAAATAAATGTGAAAGTTTTGAAAAGTCTCTGAAAGAAAAGAATATGGAAATGAAAATGAAGTTCTGAAATATGTACGAAAAGAATATGAAATAGTTGGTATATTTTATATTGATTCACATGATTTTGATAAAATCATGAGATGATGATTTTCAGGTTTCCAAATAGGAAAATAGCTTGAATAGCTTGGTTTGAAAGTTTGAATGATTTTATTTAAATTAAAATTTTATATTTTAAAGTATTTTATGACATTTTATGTTTTATCTCACTTTAGTTGTGTTACTGTCTTGCTAAGTTTTACTTAGCGTGTGATGATTTTCATGCGTAGGTTCGGATAAAGGAAAGAACATGAAGTATGGAGCCTCTCGAGCATCTTTTAGAAAATCGTACTTAATATCAGTATCAGTAAGATATCTCTAAAGATCTTTTTCGGCTTTTTAGTGGTATGTATATTATATCTATTTGCTTGCTTTATCAGATTTATTTAGAATGGTTTGTAATAGTAAATTAGGACTATTCTGTTTTGGCTAGCCTTAGTTATATATGAAAGTATGAATGACTAGTTATAAATAATATTAGGTTTTTAAACGGTTTTTAAATTAAGGAGTGTTTGACAGTTTTACATAGATCATGAAACAACACTGAATTGTTTACTTACTGCCTAAAACCGGTTTTGTTTTGGAAAATAAATTATTACTTCATAATTATATTTGATTAAATAAAGGGTTTTAAATTGTTAAACGAAAGTTTTTAAATGGAACAAAAAAATTTAAAGGTTATGCACAAAGAATGTTTGAAATATTAATGTGACATCTTAAACTCATATTTCAAGACGTATACAAGTTATGGGTGTTATAAATTATATCTTACATTCTTGTTAAGCAAACCAAACATGGTAACACAACATTCTCAAAGTAATGTTATATTCCAATAATCTTATTCTCATAGGTAATCTTATATTCCGTTAACCAAACACACCCTTAGTACTAAAGACAAGGAGAAAGTTGGAAGAAGTTGACTAGGAGCCCTCATTTGGTATTTTTAATCTAATGCAGTGTACTCCTAATTTTATTGTATATTCTGACACTCATAAATGTGATACTTTGTGGTATATTTCTTGTTGAGTATGTTGAAGTGATATGCATGTTTGGTGGCTAAATTGATAATATTGTTGTTAAACTAGGTTTAACCGATACCAAATGACTCCAATTTACCCGTATGGACATTACAAATGGAGCATGCCTTTCAATATAATGTATAAAAAGGTTTTGGGGGTGATTTTGGAGTTTAAAGTGACCATTTACGGGTTTTGGTATCGATAATATTTTTTAGGTATCAATATTGTATGAAATTATAGTTAAAAATTCGGCAAAACCTTCATATGACATTGATACTCATTCTTGGAGTATTGATACTAGTTTTTTGGTATTGATATCAAGATGGAAATATCGATACTAAAATTGTACAATACATTTTAATGTGCCAATTTAATATCCATACTATCTAAGAGTGTTGATACCATAAGGCTTAGTATCTATAACCCTATACTATATCGATATTGAAGGTTGAGGAGATATTGTTTTGCCCCTTAAAACACGCGAGAATGAAGGATATTAGTATACAAGATTAAACGAATTATTAAGATGTATTAACCTATTAAATTATTAAAGCACCCTTGACAGGTACAAATGATCAAAATACCTTTATAAATATAAAAATCACGATATTACACATATATGACTAAATAAGTTAAAATGGTGGTCTGAATGAGTAAAAAGGGTGGATGTCATTGAATCTCAATGTATGACTTTAATGGCTAAAGAATATTTATTTGTGCGACCTTTTACCTATGCAACTTTAGTGGTGACTACGAAAACGACCTTAGTGACGAGACTATATTCATCTATACGACTGTAGTGGCAAATGTATACATCTGTACATATGCAACTTCAGTGGCGACAGGCTACCCATATATCATTAAAATCGTACACATTATCATTAAAATCATTATTATTATGAATATCTTTGACATCAATTTTATATTTAACACCAGCGTTATTAACAATAAATTATAAAACATAAAAAAGTGTATTAATATATTAATAATCAAAGTACATAGAGGCTAAAAGATTAATATCTATCACTTATATTTTGAATGATTTAACAAAATTAAGTAGTGAGTGATTTATTTATGAATCCTATATAACAATTTGGTAATAAATATGATTATTTTTTTTAACAAATTTTAAATTTAATTCCACCTAGAGGGAAGGGGAAGGAATGATAGTGGTCTAAGTAGGTCTTGAACTAGTGACATAAGGGAGTATGACAAAACAAATATGAGCAGTTTGACCAACTGATCAAATATGATTATTTAAACTAACTAAGATGGAACAAAAAAATACATATTGATTCTCTTGAATATTGTAAAAGGACTAGAAATGGACACCCGGTTTTATGTTAAAGAGTGAATTTATATATAAATTTAATTTTTTTAAAGAACGACTTTCCTCGTTAGACCCTCGATCCATCCCTAAAATGAACAAATTTAATATTTAAATATTATAAACAAATTCAATATGATTTATTTATTAATGTTGTATTTAATATTTATGTATATTTGGTTAGGTTTTTTTTATTGTGTTCGTATCAAAAAATTTAGGGTAAATTTCGTATTTAGTCATATATCTAATTTTATGGTTCTATTTTGGTTACTTAATTATTAATTTTTAAATTATATCTAATATTATATTTTGATTCCGTTTTGATTATTCTTCATTAAAAGATTAATAGTGATGCTAACATATTATTATAAGGTAAAATCATATTATCATTGAAAAAGTATTTTTTTTAACAATTCTATTTATTTTTTATTAACAAATGACTAAAATAAAATAAAAATATATCATTATATATAATTTTGAAAAGAATAATTAAATAACTAAAATAGAACTACAAAAATAGATAGATGACTAAAGATTACATAGAATTTAATCCCCTCACGTTGCTTGTGAATTGTGAAAATATATTTAGATGTATACGGCTATAATAATACGTAAAATTCTGAAAAATACTACATAAAATATTTTAATATGTATATATATATATATATATATATATATATATATATATATATATAATGTTAATATAAACCTCGTATGTGAGCCGCCTACCTCCTCCATACCTCTTCGGCCGACCATTTTCAGTAGATAGAGCGAAAAAGAGAAAGGGTCTCTCAACCTCCTAAAGGAAAGGCCTTTTTTTTTACTCTAAATTAGTTTTCTATTTCATTTCTCTTCGCCTTATCTTTTTCCCCCCTTTAGGTGAGTTCTTCATTTCTTTTCCTTTGTTCTGGGTTTCTCTTATATTTTGTTTTTATGTTTCTTTTTATCTTTTTGGGCTTTCCGAAAGATTGACACTTCATCTGCAGTCTCTTTTTCTTCGAACTTATTTTGTTTTCTTTAGGAAATCTGACTTAGGATTTTGGTTTGATTAGGTTTTAATTGGTATATATTGATTTTTTTTGTTTCTTATGAATAAGGCGAGTAAGCAATGCTAAAACAAAATAAGCCCATTGAAAGTACGGAGATTTATGCTCTTTTTATTTCACTTGTTAGATTCAAAATTATTTCATTCTTTAATTTAATTAGTGCTCTAAGCTTTCTATCAATGATAAATGTTTATGCTGATTGCTTTTCTTGGTTGAGGTTATATGGTATTTATGTAGTTGAATCTGTTTGCTTATTTTTTTTTCTTGATGAAATGCTATAAATTTATGCCATTTCTTGATGAAGTGCTATAACTAGTAAATAAAATATCTATCTACAAGCACCTGGTAATTTTTTTTCCACTTTTAGTTGACTCCGATTATATGGCATCCTCTTTTTTGTTTGGTTATGTTCCTTCTATGCTTGGATTGTTGGTTGATGATTTATGGCCTTTATTTATGCTTATTGGAGTCTTGTAATCTTGTGAATGATTCAAGCTTATTGATTGCCTCTTTTGAGGTATTCATTTCAAGTGACTTGTTTAATTACCAAATGCAGATTGCTTAGGGTGATGGCTAAGTTTCTGGCTCAGTCGAATATGGTTCCTGCTCTAGTTGCTAGTTGGAGTCATGGTCCGTCCAAAGAATCTGGAAAGCTGAAGAGGTCTATCAAAATGATGTGCAGTTTACAAACTCCTGTATTGAAGATGAGGAGTTTCTCTGGGTTGCGTGGTTCTAATTCTTTAGATAATATGGTCAGCTTGGGACACGATTTCCATTCTAAGGTTGCACTTTCAGTATCTTCACGACGAGGAAGGGGTAGCAGATGTGTACCAAAAGCCATGTTTGAGCGCTTTACGGAGAAAGCGATTAAAGTGATTATGCTGGCCCAAGAGGAAGCTAGACGGCTCGGCCATAATTTTGTTGGTACTGAGCAAATCTTATTGGGTCTTATTGGTGAGGGTACTGGCATTGCCGCAAAAGTTCTTAAATCCATGGGAATCAATCTTAAAGATGTGCGAGTAGAAGTGGAGAAGATAATCGGAAGGGGCAGTGGGTTTGTTGCTGTGGAGATTCCATTTACTCCTCGTGCAAAGCGTGTTCTGGAACTCTCATTGGAAGAAGCCCGCCAGCTTGGTAACTCAATCTTTTAGTTTCTTCTTTTTTCTTTTTATTATTTTTCTACATCTTTTAAACTGGGATTTAGCTTGCATGGAGAGTTACTATTTTATTTGGATTTCACTTTGTATATGCTGCTTATTCATATGACAATTGGTACAATCATATGCACTGGCATTAGAATTTATTTGGCCCAAATTGATGGGAATCAGATTGCCATTTGACTTATCCTATTAAAACATTTCACTTGATAGAACTGAAAAGAGTACTATTGGAGGATTATTATGGTGGGGTCTCTTTCCATTCATCTTTAAATAACCATGATGCTTAGGCGTATACACTTTGCTTGTCTTATCAAATCCATGACTGTGAGATAGGAATTGGTCCTTCATTTTGTTTATGATGCTTCCACTCTGGACTTGGAAAATTTAATTTAACTGGTAAATCTTATTTCATAAAAATTTCAGGCCATAATTATATTGGATCAGAACATATTCTTCTTGGGTTGCTTCGTGAAGGTGAGGGAGTAGCAGCCCAAGTTCTTGAGAGTTTAGGTGCTGACCCAAGTAATATCCGCACACAAGTAAGAAATACATTTAGACTTGATCTTGTTTTAAAATTCTGGTACATTTTTTTCGACAAAAAAAAGATAATGGCATTGATCATCCATTTGATTATCTAGGTTATTCGTATGGTTGGTGAGGGCAATGAAGTTAATGTTGTTTCTGGAGGAGCAAGTGGCAACACAAAGATGCCAACACTTGAAGAATATGGAACTAATTTGACTAAACTAGCTGAGGAGGCAAGAAATTTTTTTCTGTCTTATCATCCGGGTATTTTGTTGGACTCGTTTCTAAGCGGATTCTTTTTCCACTTTTAGGGAAAATTAGATCCCGTGGTTGGAAGGCAGGATCAAATAGAACGTGTTGTCCAAATATTGGGTAGACGGACCAAAAACAACCCGTGTCTAATTGGAGAACCTGGTGTTGGAAAAACAGCTATTGCAGAAGGTCTTGCTCAACGTATTGCTAGTGGTGATGTTCCTGATACAATTGAGGGAAAGAAGGTGCATACATGTCTCATATCTTTATAAACAGTTTATCTCATCACCAGGACAAAGTATTGATACTTTGATAGTTTTTTTTTCCTTTCCATTCTGGAATTTGACTTGGTTCTGACATGCAAACTTGGTATTTCTTTTGCATGTTCCCATTTACGTTTGTTTTGCATGAGTTGCTTGCTAAAATGATTTATGATCCATGTATAACATTCATATCTATTATGGGTCTTTTTTCCTGGATTTTCACTTCATTCATGTACTTGACATGAAATAATTGGTCATGGAGATTTTAGTGGCTTTAAGTATGACTTTATCCCTCTTTTTCTTGAGCTTCTAAAATTACAACCATTTTTCTGTGATTATTTTCGTTTTATTATTTCTTCAGTGGGAAGTGTACATTTACTGTTGTTTTCTTAGTAGGTTATTACACTTGATATGGGTCTTCTTGTTGCTGGAACAAAATATCGTGGAGAATTTGAGGAAAGATTGAAAAAGCTAATGGAGGAAATCAAGCAAAGTGATGAAATAATATTGTTTATTGATGAGGTGCACACTTTAATTGGAGCAGGTGCTGCAGAAGGTGCTATTGATGCTGCTAACATCTTAAAGCCAGCACTTGCAAGAGGTGAATTGCAGGTAAATTTTGTTCTTTGAACGGGGAACGTATTGTGATAGTGATGCTTAGGCAGGGAATTGTGGTAAGAGATGGAGAAATGTGTGGTTTTCCCTAGTCTTTTCTGGGTTTGGATTGGCTGTTGTAATCAATATACTAGCAATTATTTTCTTTACAGCTGTACTAAATATTGTTAGAGACTGAAGTAGATTGTTATTATCTCACTTGTATCTGAACTATTTGGGGCCTGTCTATTGCTGCATATGTTGGTGTTTTCTGTTTAGTGAAGTGACATGAAGCATATTGTTATATTTGGTATTTTTGCTACTTTTGGAACAGTATTTGGTTAATGCAACTGTTTCTCTCTGTTATGTTAATAAACCCTGCTGCTATTTTATATCTTCAATTTGAATTTGTGCAGTGTATTGGAGCTACAACGCTCGATGAATACAGAAAGCATATTGAGAAAGACCCAGCTTTGGAAAGAAGATTCCAGCCGGTGAAAGTGCCTGAACCATCTGTGGATGAAACTATACAGATTTTGAAAGGTTTGCGAGAACGCTATGAGATTCACCACAAGCTTCGTTACACAGATGAGGCCTTGATTTTTGCTGCACAACTGTCACACCAGTACATTAGGCATGTGTTCATCTTATTTTCGTGAAGTACTTTTGTAATTTGGTAGTCACTCTATTGGAACTGCAACTTTCCTCACCTTGATTTCTTTTTATTTTAGTGACCGTTTTCTACCTGATAAAGCAATTGACTTGATTGATGAAGCTGGTTCTCGTGTTCGCCTTCGTCATGCACAGGTGTGCTTTTGTTATTATCTAGTTGCGAGTAACTCTTATTTTCTTTTCTTTCTCAAATCTCTAGTTGATTTGATGCCGTTATCTTGTTGCAGCTCCCTGAGGAAGCTAAAGAGCTTGAAAATGAGCTCAGGCAGATCACAAAGTCCAAGAATGAAGCAGTTCGCGGCCAGGACTTTGAGAAGGTACAAATTGTGTTGAATTTCATAGGGACATTTTATGTTGATTTCTTTTAGAGGATGGGTCCAAATATAGTAATGACCCCCCTTCGGTTTTTTATTTTATTTTATTCTTTGATGATCTTCTACATTTGTTTTCTTACAATGCTGTTATGTGTTCAACTGTCATTTTTTTTTTGGGTTTTAACAACTTTTGGTTCATCTCAAATGCTCAATACATACCATAATGCATTCTTTTAAACAGGCTGGGGAATTACGTGATCGAGAAATTGAGCTTAGGGCTCAGATTACTGCAATCCAAGAGAAAGACAATGAGATGAATAAGGCCGAGGCAGAGGCCGGGGATGGAGGCCCTGTTGTGACTGAGATGGACATTCAGCATATAGTCTCGTCGTGGACTGGTATTCCTGTTGAGAAAGTATCAACTGATGAATCTGACCGTCTTCTTCAGATGGAAGAGACTCTTCATAAGCGAGTCATTGGTCAGGATGAAGCTGTCATTGCCATTAGTCGTGCTATTCGACGTGCCCGTGTTGGTCTCAAGAACCCCAATCGGCCAATTGCTAGCTTCATCTTTTCTGGACCAACTGGTGTAGGAAAGTCGGAACTAGCAAAGGCTCTAGCAGCTTACTATTTTGGCTCTGAAGAAGCTATGATTCGACTTGATATGAGTGAGTTCATGGAGAGGCACACAGTGTCCAAACTCATCGGTTCACCTCCTGGGTATGTTGGTTACACTGAGGGTGGTCAGCTAACGGAGGCTGTTAGAAGACGACCATACACTTTAGTGCTTTTCGATGAGATTGAGAAGGCCCATCCCGATGTCTTCAACATGATGCTTCAGATACTCGAGGATGGAAGGTTGACCGACAGCAAAGGAAGAACTGTGGATTTCAAGAATACCCTTCTGATAATGACATCTAATGTTGGAAGCAGTGTGATTGAGAAGGGTGGCCGACGGATTGGTTTTGATCTTGATTTCGATGAGAAAGACAGCAGTTACAATAGAATAAAGAGCTTGGTGACAGAAGAACTGAAACAATATTTCCGGCCCGAGTTCTTGAATAGATTGGATGATATGATTGTTTTCAGGCAGCTCACCAAGTTGGAAGTTAAGGAGATCGCTGATATAATGCTTAAGGAGGTATTTGACAGGCTTAAAGACAAAGAGATAGAGCTTCAAGTGACTGAAAGGCTTAGAGAGAGGGTTGTGGATGAAGGATACAACCCGAGCTATGGTGCGAGGCCTTTGAGAAGAGCCATTATGAGGCTTCTCGAGGACAGCATGGCCGAGAAAATGCTTGCTAGGGAAATCAAGGAGGGTGATTCAGTTATTGTGGATGTCGACTCAGATGGCAACGTTACGGTTCTTAATGGTAGAAGCGGTGCTCCCGAGTCACTGGCTGATCCATTTCCAGTAGTTTAACCAAATAACCGTTTTGATCCAATTCAGTCTCTCTCTCTCTCTCTCTCTCTCTCTCTGAAAGGACTACCTGATAGTTGATTTTGAAGTTTTTGATTGCTTGCCTAAGGTCATTGAAGTATTTCTTACACTTGAATCCCCTTCATAGTTGGAAGGGGCAAAGTAGCGTTAGTTCGACAGCGAACTTCACAATAGAATTTATTGATGATTTTGTTTTAAGATCATGGAAAATTGTCTTTATTTAGGATCAATGTCATGTACGTATAATTTTGTTTTAAGATCATGGCCCATTTCTACTCCCTCTGTTTAGAATCAATGCCTTAGAGATGTTAAAACATGATATATATATATATAAACTATGCTTCCTGGAAATTTTAATATCAACCCAGAAATATTCAGTAAAAGATTAATGAACAAGGTTGTGCTATGTTATTCGGGTGTACTTGAACAAAATCCAAGACCTGCGGTCTCATCATCCACTGCCATTACCAATCAGTTATAGACATGATATGTACTACAATTCTATAGCACCTTTGTTCCATCTAAAATCATTTACTTCAAGAACCTCTCCATCTGGCTTGAAAGAGTCCATTTCCAGGGAATATGTCCCATCTCCAAGTGAAGAGCAACCAGGAACAAGCATGTAATTCACATTGCTAAATTAGCAAATGTTTGTTCATTTCCACTTGTTCGCACATTTTCAGTGCAGACCTCCATTCAACCCAAGGACTAAAGGCTAAAGATTCAACCTCCGTGATAACACAAAGCTTTAGATTTCAATGATGATGAAAAGAATCCATATCATATGTATGCACTTGTTCGAACCTGAGTCCTTTAAAGAAAATAATATTATCTTTTATCGCTTGGGCAACTCAATAAGTTCTACTACTTTACAAAGGATGTATTGAAATCAGAATTGATTCATAAAAGAGACAAATTGGATCTTATTTTTTGTCATCTTTACAAAATAATCCTTTAATTATAATGTGTAAACTGAATTAATCATTTAACAATAATAAATTCAACTTCAAATCATGTATAATCTTTTAATTTCTCTTTACTAAAATTATTTTTCCCAAATAAATTTTGAAAGTAGTTCTTCGAAAAATTGACCGAACTATCCAACAATCAACATTTAACTACTAATAACTACCAAGTCTAAAACCGAAGTGTGCATCATTGGAGTCATCTACTTCCTTGGAGATCCAAAAAATAGAGATTTGTCTCACGATCAAGTGGTGAAGCCAAGTACCAAAGCCTGACATCCAAAATTCCAGTTGCAGGCTTTCTTTGTAGACATGGAAATCGAACTTGGAGAACCTTCTACTATTTGGTGTGACAATACCTGCATGGCGGCCATGACTATTGACTATGTTCTGCATGCTGACTTATAATACTCTGTGTAAATGTTGTAGTTCTTGTTGTGTATTTCATTCGAATCAATTGTATAAGAAAGAAAGAAAGTGAATATTAAGCCATTGGGCTTATTAATCTAAATGAAATTTGTCACTGGTTAGTGACTTGTTACGATTCAGCCTAATTTCTCTACACATATCCAACTAAAAGTGTCAATCTGATAAAGTTTATTGGGCTATAAAAAATGACTTGACTCGGGTAGTTTTGAAGCCTATATTTAACCTTTATTATTTCATTTATTTCCTTTGTTGTTGCCTTAGCTATAAGGCAGTTTTTAGTTTATCTTATTTGATTCTCATTAATGATTAAAAAATGTATTTGTTTTTAATTTTATATGGATGCAAGTAGATATTTGAGTTATATCTAAAGAAAACATGTAAAAAAAATTAAAGGATAAAGTGCATAAATGGTCCCCCGACTATGGAGTGTTGATTCGTTGAGTCTCTGACTATGAAAGTTACAAAATGGTCCCTGACTATAGGATATTACTTTGTTGAGCTCTTCGACTATTAAAAGATACAAAATGGTCACCCAACAATTTATATGTTCCAAACTCGTTCATTTTCGTTAAAAAATTGGCGTTCTTCTTAGTTGGATGTTATTCTATTGACTGAGATATGATAAAATATAATCCCAAAATCATTTGAATTGTATAGTCATTTGAGATTCTAAGATCATATTTTATCATATCTCAGTTAACAAGTTAATGTCAAGCTCATACGACCATCAAATTTTTAACAAAAGAGAACGTGTTTGAAACATATGAATAGTAAGGTGACTATTTTATAACTTCTAATAGTCAAGGGACTCAATAAAGCATTACCCTATAGTCGAAAGATTATTTTGTAACTTCTAATAGTCAAGGGACTCAATAAAACAGTACCCTATAATCGAGAGATTATTTTATAATTTTTAATAGTCGAAGAACTCAAAAAATTATATTATATAGTCAAAAGATCATTTGTGTACTTTATCCAAATTAAAAGCACGTCTCGAAGAATGAAGACCAAAACCTTATTACGTCTTTTTCAGGAATAGTGCCCATTTTGTTTGTGTATTGCTTTGCATCAGTGTTGCAGTGATACTTTCTCTTCGATTTGATGCTCTAAATGACTATATAGACGTCTTGAAGTCATTAAAACAACAATTTTTTGTTTGTTTTTAAGCATATAAAAGTCAATTATATAAAATATGCTTTTCAAATCATGTTGACAAACGTACCTCATTTCATTAAAGGAACCATTTTGTTTGCAGCCCGGTAGACTGTAAATAAGACGAGATAGATTGTGAGTTATTCGAGATCGATTCGATCAAGGTTCGATAAATATTCGAATCGAATAGACTCGACTCGAGCTCGAGCTCGACTCGAGTTCTTAACGAGTTGAAACGAGCTACTCGATATTTGACTCGAAAAGCTCGTGAGCAGCTCGAAAATATAATATATTAAGATTTTATTTAAAAAAATAAATTAATAATAATTTTAATATTTATGTATTGATTTTTTAAAAAAATATAGTAAGATTTCATGTATTTAAGGTTTATGTTCGAGTTTGAGTTTGAGGCTTCAATCGAATTAAGTTTAAGAATTTTTTTCATTTCAAGCCTTTTCGAGCTGCTCACGAGCTTCAGTTCAGGATTTCGAGCTCGAGTCGAGCTTGAAAATTTAAAGATCGCGAGTTTTCAAGTCGAGTCGAGCTTCATTTCAGAGTTTTTGAGTCGAGTCGAGTCGAGCTCAATAATACATGAATTCGACTCGGCTCATTTACACTCCTATTACCATGAAACTTCTAACCAATAAACATTATCTGCTGGAAAATATACATTTATATGGCATAGAAGGTCTGTTATTTATTTACTACGTAACATCGGCCAAAGGAGAAAATTCTACATGTCCTTCCTTTATTTAAAAAAAATTAAATAAAAGATAAACATGATCGTATTTAATAATATCGATAAACAAATTATAATAGGGGATTAAATTATTGAAAGATGATCGATAATCATAAATCAAAATAAAATGTCGTAAGAAAATTATCTCTAATACAAACTGCATATTCAAATCGAATTTGAGGGTCAAAAACAGAAAATATCAAATAAATGGTAAATAAGCGTTATTTTAATCACTTGATGCGATGTCAAATCAAACTTTAAATAAATTAAACGAAAAGAACGGTCAAACGATCGATAGAGAAAATTGAAAACGTATCGAACATAAAAGTAGAGTTATTGAAAAGGGGTGCCACAGTGGATCCTCTTTCCCCCTACTTCTTTGTGCAGACTGTAGACGTTCTCTCCAGGATGTTGGACAAAGCGGCAGAGCATGGAGTTTTCTCTTTCCATCCTAAATGTCATAGGCTCCATCACACAAATTTGTGCTTTTGTAGATGATTCTATGGTGTTTACTAAAGGCTCTTTTAATTCCATTATGGGAGTTTGGAGAGTGATGTAGTTGTTTGGGAGTTTCTCTAGTTTGCATATTAACCCTCAAAGTCTGAGTTATTCTCTACGGGTATGGGGGGTTAATATTTGAATGTTGTTGTCGAGACTACTGGTATGAAAATTGGAAGGTTGTCAGTTAGATACCTTAGGATCCTCCATATCAATAAGAGACTCGCAATGAATGATTGTAAACCGCTTTTGGACAAAATTTTTGGTCGGCTTCATGGCTGGTATGCAAAACAAATTTCATACTCTGGAAGATGACAATTGATTCAATATGTTATCTTTAGCATTCAACAGTTCTGGAGTAGACAGTTAGTGCTGTCGGGAGCAGTCATTCAAAGGATAAATCAACTATGTTTCAGGTTCTTCTGGAAGGGTGAAGATAAAGCTGCAAAGGCGCAAGAGTTAGTTGGTCACACATTTATACCCAAAGTCTGAAGGAGGTCTTGGTCTCAAAGATTGGGATGTGTCAAATTTCACTGGCTCGTTGTACCTAATTCGGAAGGTGCTACTTGTGGAGGGATCTTTATGGGTAACCTGGATTCATGAGTATGTCTTCAAGGGGGCTCCTTTTGACTTGCTTCCATACCTCAATGTTGTAGTTGGACTTGGCGGAACCTCCTAAAGCTCAAAAATAGAGCTCTTGGGTTTGAAGGCCTTCTTGCTGCACATATGTGCTCGATATTTGAAATTTGGAAAGCTATCCAACTGCAAGGGATAAAGTTGTTTGGAAGAAGGTTGTTTGGCACTTGGGGTATATTCCTCGACACTTTATGGTGGCTTCGATGTCTGCACTGGATAAGCTACCTACTAAGAGCAGACTCTTGTCGTTCGGATTGTGGGTGCAATTTTTGTACGAGGGAGCTGGAAACAAGGGACCACTTATTCTTTGGTTGTGATTTTCAAAGCAGGTTTGGATGAATTTGTAGCATGCTTGCTTTATAAATGGTTGAGTAAAAGGTTGCGAAAGAAATCTCTCTTGGCGATGACGGTTAAATTGACTTGGAATGGTTATATATATTTTATGTGGCGTGAGAGAAATCGAAGGCAATTTCAACAGGTTGAGGCTTCGGTTCAAGAGGTTACTCGACACGTCCAGGAGTATGTAAAATTGGGGCTGGCGAGAGGATTTCCGCTTGATCAGTGGGAAGCAAATAGAGACTTATGTACAAGTTGCTCCATTCTTTTGTATAGCTGTTAGAGGGGTGGTTTTCTAAGCTTTCTATTCTTGAAATTGACTTCTAGTTCATTGGTTTGGAATACATAGCATAGATTAACCTAAAAAAAATAAAGAATACATGTAATCGACAACCACTTGATTTTTAGTGAAAATCTTAATTTTTTTTATAAGTATGGGGCGAGTATAAGATAGTATACATTCAAAGACTCTCGACCACTTGATAATGAATGCTCATACTTCTAACATGTGTAATGCTCAAACCTAG